AACGCGCAGTCACAGCATATGCGATCTGCGCATCGAGCAAACTATTTACGCCATTCGGAAACGCCAGCCTGACATCGCTGATAGTTCAGAGCATCATTGGTACGCCTACAACCTTTAGCCACCTCCGCTTGTCATCTGCCCCACCTGGTCCCACACTTGGCCATCATGTCAACTGAGCGGTCAGCGCACCCGCTGCGCCCATACTATCAGCCAGATGAGGATCGATCCGTCTTCATCGCTTCTCGCCCTTCTGGCACCACAGCCCTGCCATCCAGCGGGTCCACATCCAAGGCTACCTCTTCGGGTTCAGCGCCCACAGCATCTCGTGGGGCGGCAGTGATAGGCTCCAGACCCTCCAATCGTTACATCCGCCCAGACGATGAAGATCTCGCAGGCTTGCAAACATCAAGAGGTCCATCATGGTCAGATGCTGCACGTGGTCTGGTGCTTGCAGGTGCGCTGCAATTCAGCTTGACTTGCGTCGCCATGCCGTTCGAAGTGGGCAAGCTGCTGCTGCAGATCCAATGGGTGCCCAAGGATGACGTATGGACAGCGTACGTTCAAGCCGCGAATGCCGATGCTGCAGAAGCCAAGCGGATCCTTTTGGCGAGTGCCAGAGCTAGGAAGGCGGCCACGGAAGGAAGATTAGCAGGCCTTCAGCACTCAGAGTGGGATGATGATGACGAGGTCGCACCAGAGACGGAAGAATGGCTCGACGAAGACACGCATAGGCGTGATTTCGGCGCTGACGATGACGAGGTGAGTCTGGCTGCTACGACGACACTGGGCATGCCCTCGAAGAGATGTAGCACGAGGAGTGAATGTTCATAACTTTGCTGGCTGGTCTGACGATCTGTCTCGCTACAACAATCGCAGCTTTCGGATGAAGAAGACGCCTCCGCCTACTTTGCTGATTTGGCAACCACTTCTCAGCGACCAGCCGAGACCCCAAAGCGGCGCACACAGCCTACAGATGCGTCGGGCTACGTCGTTCGGCGTAGCGTGCACCAGCAAGGGGGGGCCAAGCCCGAGCACGTACTGCCTGTCGTTGTGCGAGGGGGAGTGTGGGAGATGATCAAGGCTGTCGCACGCGGCAAGGAGGGCTACTGGGGACTGTTCAAAGGTGAGGCCTAGCCTGACCACTGTGGACAGCACTTTCTCTAGGCGGCAAACTGACGCAGCGCCCTCGACCCTGCCCCTTGGTAGGAGCGCTGACAACGTTTGTCTTCGACGTCGGGACCAACATCTTGACGCCGATCGTCACCGAAATCCTTGCCCTATTTGCCCCTTCTGCGCAGACCCCATTGCCCCTCCCGTATGCACCATACCCGAGGAGGACTTTCTTGCTGCACCTCACCTCGCAGCTCATCACCGGCTTTGCTCTATCTCCGCTGGACTTGATTCGTACCAGGCTCATTGCTCAGTCAACTCTCGCTCCTCATCGCAAGTACAATGGTCCGTGGCAAGGACTCAAGCAGATCTTGGAAGAGGAGGGTGGATGGCGCACAGCATACTTCCATCCTAATCTCTTCATTCCTACATTGCTCGACTTCACCATTCGACCCGCTTTGAGCCTGGGCGCTCCACTAATCATTGAGCATACGTTGCGCCTTGATCCCAACACCTCACCGGTCGCTTATGCGCTGGCTGACATGACGCTAGGGGTCATTGCACTGAGCGTGACGCTACCGATCGAGACAATTCGCAGGCGGCTGCAGATTCAGCCGCGGGCGCCTTGGGGTGCTGATCCTCCCGCACCGGTTGGTGCACGCCCCCCTACCGCTACGAACATCGCCGATGTGGGTCTCAGCCCGGGACGGAAGCCTTTGCGAGCTCTCAGGACGTGCGTCGAAACGCGCCCACGACCTTATTTGGGGGTGGTGGAAGCGATCTACAGAATCATCACGGAGGAAACGTCTGCTTCGCCGGTACCTAGACACAAGAGGGAGCAGTCCATCGCCTCTGCCACTGACAGTGGAAGCAACACCCCGAATCCTCTTGCCCGGAGCTCTGTGCTGGCAAAGGATGGGCATTCCAGCCTCGGAGGCGTTCGGAGCCTGTATAGAGGCTTTAGCATGGCTGCAAGCGCTCATGCACTTGTCTTTGTTCTCACGCTCTTCAGCGCTGAAAGAGCTCCCCCCAGCGGATGGGCTGAGATTTGAAGCCGTAAGGTTGCTATTTCACAGCCTGGCATGTTGCACGCAATCCGTTGCAACCTTTGCCTCGGTTCCTTCCTTGCCGCGGCCTCGGGGGCAGATCATGTCACACTCATACCCACCCCTCTCCCGAATGCACTCGATCAATACCATAAAGATTATGATTATCTGATAAGGCAAGGGCGTACGAAAGCCACAGCACGCCGTTCCGCAAGTGCGCGAATGCCAGCGGTGGCATTACTCGTGCTTTCTGCCCGAGCCGTCCACTGCTTCTCCAGTCTTGTTTACGCCCTTCTTTATGCCTTCAACGACAGATGTCGCGCGCCTTGAATGATGACAAGGCATTTGTCAACAAGACCATTCACAACTGTGGCGACTTGATGCGCGCCGTCATCACAATGACCTGGATGACTCACTGGCCTGCGTTGTCAGCTGCGCCTGAGGGCTGATCAGTGAGATCTGCGGCAGCCTGCTTGCTTGACGCCTTGAGTTCCTTGCCTCGGCCTGTGGATGCGAAGTAAATCAAGTCAGCTCAGATGGCCAATGGACAGCTCTGAATGTAGAAAACAGGAGTCATCCTGCTCGTTGGTGCGCCCATCTCAAAAGCTTCCCTCCCCCCCCGCCCTCTGCCTAGAGCAAGATGTCCAGCATAAGACCCCTGCGATGCCCCGGCGGCAAAGACGACTAACTAGCATCGATCAACGGTCGAAACAAACCCTTCATCTCCTGAGCAGCGGAACCGACCGCTTTGCCGATCGAACCCTGCACGCGTCCCACAACCGCCTCGCCTTCATTGCCAGCTTTGTTGCCGGAAGAGTAGAAGCGAATTTGGGCTCGGTGGGAGATGAGCCCGGCACGAGCCAAGCTTGAGAGACGGAACGCAGACATTGCAAGTACAATTAGGTGTGGTGCGGGTGGTGAAATGTAAGCCACGTTGAAG